GCAGGCTAAGGGGATGGGAATATGCAAGGAGGAGTGTGAGGAAGGGTAGCAGGCAGGAAGCCTTCCTGAAGGAGGTGACCTTTTAGCCCTAGGAGGCTGGGCACAGAGTTCAGAAAGGACTCCTGTCCCAGGGATTGTGGGATGGTCTGAAACCTAGGTATTGTGATTCAGAAGATTGTGTGGGAAGAATGCAGACCTGAAGACGTGTTCCAGGCCCAGACTCCTCCCTAGAACAAATTCCCAAGAGCCCTTGGGAGGTCCCTGCACCTGTCCTGTTCTTCTGCAAAATGGATCAGAACGCACCTGTGGTGGGTCTTTCAAAGTGCGTGCACCGTGATGACCTGAGGTGCAAGGCAGTGACCTCAGGGGCGGGGTGGGGGGACAAAAACTGGAAAACACTAGCTGGGACCATAACTCCAGCTCCCTCTCGATGTTACCGTTGGTGGATTATTAAGGCTATATTCCTTTCACTCCACGGAAAAGGAAGGCCTGTCACAGCCCCCTCCACCCTCCTCCCTCCTATCACTGTCATCACCATCACTACCAACACTGTCTCAATAGGAGTCAGAGGCTTAGGTTTGTTATTTGACCAGAAAAGGACAGACAATGAGAGAGAGGGAAAGTGAGAAAGCAAGCCGCCAGGTCTGGGACTCGAACCACGGTCGGCCATGTGGGAGTCCAGTGCCCTTAACCACCATGCCACCTGCCAGCCCTAGAGCTCTGTATTCTCACCCCACACACAGTATTTCCTTGCTGTGTGACTCTTTGCAGTTATGTACGTCTCTGAGATTTAGACTCCTAGGCATTCATTGTGAAGGTGAATGAAAGACTCCCCATCATAGACATGAAAACTGCAGAGTGTGGAGTCCCCGTGCAGGTAAGAGAACGCTGTCATAAACGCCTGGCCTCTGGCCCAGAGCAACGCATCTGGGTGTGACATGGCACAGCCGGGTTCAACCCTGTTGCTCCACTCCAAGAGACTTCCCTGGTGTGAAAGTCCCCGAGGCCTTAACAAGGCAAACAATGGGTCCCACTGGGACCTCGGCTCATCTTATCATGATGGTCCAGGAGAGGCTTCATTTCCACGTCTTTGGCCAGAGCCAGTGCCCAGAGCCAGTGCCCAACAGACCCGCAAAGGCTCAGGCGGGAGGTGGAGGTAGGGGCTATGCCTTCTGAGCGCCCACTGTGACTGTGCACTTGGCATTTGTGGTTGGTTCCACGCTCCCTCAGCCCGTCTGAGGGGCTCACAATTGCCATGCCACAGAGGCTTGGGAGCTGCGGCCTGGAGAGGTTGGGCGCGCCCACCACAGGCTGAGCAGAGTGACCTGAGTCCCATTTGCAGGGCCTTCCCCACGGGCAAGTCCAGAGTGAACCCTGACCTCGGCCAGGGCCCAGCTTTCCGTTTAAGGCTGGGGAGATAAAAGGACTGACAATGGCTCCCACACAAGAGCCCCCTCGGGGTCCTGGGGCCGGGGTTTACGGGTCCTTGTGCCCGAGCACTTAGTAAATTCACAGGTCGTTGTTAGCTGGCCATGTGGCATGGGCTGGTTGACCTCCAGCATCTGTACTCTCTCTCTCTCTCTTTTTTTAAAGAGAATTTTGCGGGGTACATGCACTTGCTGGAGAGACAGAAAGACAGAGAGAAAGTGAGGAATCACCCACCCCCCCACCCCCGGCGGGGATGGTCACACCACCTTCTCCTCTATTCTCCTCTTGGGATTTTGGACATGCACACACATGTGCCCGGTGTGAGTTTTAAGCCACTGGGTTGAGGCTGGGACTAGAACCACAGCTGGCTACATGGGAGTCCAGCAACGTAACCCTGAAGCCATCTGCTGGTCTCAAGTGTCTGTCCTCTCTCAGTAACAGACACGCCCTACAGTTCCCAGTTTTTTTCAGGACAGGCATGGCCTTTGTATAAGTCAAGCCTAAGGCATGTGCAACTTCTAGAAAGTGTCCTTAAATAAGGGGAAGCCTTTTCTCCCCCCTTCTTCTCTTTCCCGTTGTCGAGAACACAGTGATGGCTGCAGCAGAGGCGGCTGTTGGCTTTCTTTCTTTTTTAATTGGTAGACTGTGTGTGTGAGCCAGAGCGAGAGGAGCCAAGACAGAGAGAAAGCATTCAATAGGGTCTCTCACGCCGTGACCCCTGCCACTCCTCAAGACCTTGGATGCCCATGCGTGCCCTCAGCATGTTTTTGGACTGACCTGGGATCCAACTGCAGTCACTATGGCTTCCAGCACTGCAGGGCTCTAGTGTCACCGCTGTGTCACGATGGCTGGGCTGAGGCTGGCATTTGAAGTACGAGTGGTGTTGGGAATGATCGCAGAACAGCGAGATCCCCGAGGTCCCTGGCAACTGTTGAGGGGCAATTCTACATGGTGTTTTTATACTTCTTATTAGATCTTTTGCCTGAAACCATTTTTTGAGAGTCTGTTTATTTAGTTCTTCCTTGAGCGAGACAGAGGGGAGGAGAGAGAGACAGTGCTCCCGACGATCTTCGGCCACCAGCCAGCCCAAATCATAGGCACACGTATGCCTGGTGTTCTCAGGGAGAGCCCCGGACTTGACCTGAGAACCTTTCCGTATGTGACCGCCTTGTGGGGTGTCACATGTCACTGCTGTGCCATTGCCAGGCCTCTCGTCTGGAACCATCTTTTTAAGCATGTTTGTACGGCAAGCAGCTTGAGGGGACAGAGACGGTGTCTCCCCCAAAGCAGAGGAAGGTTCGTTTCCTGACCAAGATGACAGAGATCATGTGTTTTTCCAAAGTCACTGCCGGCTAGGTTTGCTAGCAGCCTCTTAGAAGACAGGGCTCTGTGGCCCAGCGCAGTGACACAGAGGGTGCTGCTCTGCAGTGCTGGTGCCACGTGGGAGACCATAGTTCAAATTCTGGGTTGACTCGAAACCAGCTGACCATGAGCACATGACCGTGGTCCTGGCTGGCCAGAAAGCTGGGGTGGGGGCAGATCCTGTTAATGGTGACCATTTCTCTGTCTGTCTCAAGAAATAAAAATAGGGACCAGCAAGTGGTGCAGTCGTTGAGGCACTGGACTCCCACATGACCGACTGTGGTTTGAATCCAGGATCTGGTGGTTTAAAACTCATACTTGGTGCGTGTGTGTGTCCAAAATCCCAAGAGGAAAATGAAGGAGAAGGGATTGCAGTGTGACCATAACCTCTGGAGGGTGATTTCTTACTTTCTGTCTCTCTGTCTCTCTTTGTTTCTCTGGTGAGCTCATACACCCTATAGCAAAAATCTCTCTCAAAAGAAAAAAGAAAAAAAAGAAAGAAAAAGAAAATCAAAACGATCAGGGGTTTCCTAAGTGCAGTATGTCTCAGCTCTGACACAGACCTCCTGTTTGTGTCATCCACTGGAGCCTTCTGTCCCTGCGCCATGGAAGTGATTGGGCAAGAGGAACCCATGCAGAGATGCAGCTCATGCTGCCCTGCTGTACCTCCGTCTCTGACCTGAGTCCTGTGTCTTCTGCCAGCATTTATGAAGTCACGGTAGGTTCCATTGGAAGTTTGCAAGTCGGAAAAAACACCTCAGCCCTTCACGCTTCTGACGAGGGCTTAGTGGAGCAGAGCGTAGCAGCAGCCACGGAGATCTTTTGTTTTCTTTCTCTTCCTAGCTTTCCTGAGAAAAAATGTGTCTCAACAAGTGTATTTCATTTAAACTTACAGTTTAATGAGTTTGTCACATTGATACAATCAGGTATTTTTGAAATTTGCCAAGTGTGTCCAGACTGCATTATACCTGCCAACGCATGTACGATACAGCGCTTACTCATCACTAACACGCCCTGTGCCTGCTATGGTTCGTATATTGGCTTGTCCCCCAAAGATTCATGTTCTGGAACTCTGACCCAGGTGTAATGGCTTTGAGAGGTGGTGAGGCCTTTAAGAGGCGGAGCCTCATGGGAAGGCACCATCCAATCAACTGGGGGTGTGGGCGGGACAAACAGAAGTGGGAAGCTGGGCCTCCTCCCTCTCCGCACCGCCCACCCTGCGCAAGCGCAGTCTGCACTTTCCAGCCAGATGAATAAATCTGTAAACCATCGCCTCTGGGCTGTTTCTGGGTAGCAACACAGTAACGGACCGAGACATGCTCCTTTCTGGTAAATCCCTCCCTCGCCACCTCACTGCGAGTGCTGTGCGTCTTTCCATAGACGAAATCCGTGTTTCTAGAGTTTAGCATGAGTGAAATCTCACATTCGTTCAGTTGTCTGTTTCCATCAGCCTACAGTTTTAGATGGACCCATATTGATGTGTGTATCAGCAGTTATTTCATTTTTTTAAATGGGCTTTTTTTTGGGGGGGGGAGAGATTTTTGCTATAGGGCGTGTGCACTCACTGGTGAAACAGAGAGACAGAAAGCAAGACATCACCACGCCACCACCACCACCACACACACCACACACACACACACACACACACACACACACACCCGGATAGCCATGCTGCAATCCCTTCTCCATTCTCCCCTTGGGATTTGGGGCATACATGTACATATGCTGGCGTGAGTTTTAAGTCACTGGGTCTGGGACTTGAACTGCAGTTGACTAGGTGGGAGTCCAGTGATACAACCATTACATCATCTGCTGGCCCCTAGATGAGCTTTATTTTTTAATGCAGTTTTTGGTTCATTAAAAAAAAAAGCAGAAAACACAAAGGGTTCCCTTTTGCCCCTTTCCCTCCCCGTGCCTGCCCCTCACCATCAACACTCTGCACTAGATGTGGTGCATTTGTTACATCTATAACCCACAGGGATGTATCGTTGTCACCCAAAGCCCACGGTTTACGTTAGTGTCCCTCTTGCGACTGTAGCGCCATGGATTTGCCCAGATACGTGCTGAATCTCTGTTTATTCACCACTGTAGTTCGACATAGAATCGGTTCACTGCCTTAAAAATTCGGTTGCACCTATTCCTCCTCCTCTCCCCATAACCCCTGGAAACCTCTAATCTTTTTATTATCCCTACCGTTTTGCCTTTTCCAGAATGTTGGAACGTCATATGGTTGAAATCATCTGGTGGGTAGCCTTCTCGGTCTGGCGTCTTTCACTTAGGAATACACATTTAAGTTCCCTCGGAGTTGTTCCATGGCTTGGGAGTTTGTTTCCTAGTGGCGCTGAATTCTACTCCATTGTCTGGATGCGCCAGTGTACTCATCCCCTCCCCTCCTGACGGACGCCTGGCTTGCTTCCAAGTTGTAGCAGTTATGAATAAAGCCGCTATCAACATCGATGCGCAGGTTTCTGCATGAACAGAAAATTTCAGTCCCCTGGGGTAAGTGAGTGCAATTGCTGAATTACATGGTAAAACTATATTTAGGTCCATGGGAAACTGACACACTGCTTTTTAAAGTGTCTGAACCATCTGTGTGTGTGTGTGTGTGTGAGAGATTTTTGCCATAGGGCACATGGCTCGCTGGAGAAACAGAGACAGTAACTGACAGTGAGAGGGGCAGTAAAAAATCAGCCCCGGTGGGAACGGCCGTGCCATTATCCTCCTCTATTCTCCTCCCGAGATTTTGGGCACGCATGCACACATGCCCAGGGTGAGTTTCAAGCATCCAGGTCTGGGACTGAAACTGCAGGTGACTGTGTGGGAGTCCAGTGCCTTACCCACCACACCATGTGGTAGCCCCGCGGCCGTCCCGCCCTGCATTCCCACCAGCAATGGGTGAGAGTTCCTGTTGCTCCATCTCCTCGTCAACATTTGGAGTTGTCAGTGTTTTGGATTTTGGCCATTCTGGTAGGTGTGTAGTGGCATCTCATTCTTATTTTAATTTGCGTTTCCCTGACATACGACATTGAGCATCTTTTCATGTGCTCGCTTGGTATCTGTGTATGTTCAGATTCTTTGTCCATTTTTCAAATGGAGTCTTGACTCCCGTGGGTGTTTAGGTATGTACGTAAATGGTATCTTTATATTCCTATGCTATTTAAGCCGTTGTTAGGCTGGGCTTTTCTGAAAACTAAACTTCATTCTAACGAATACATGAAGTCATACGTGGGACTTCCCAGAGGCCCCATCATACCCAGAGTAAAGCCTGGTGCCCTCGTGGCCTCCATGCAGCCAGCTAGTCCGCGCCGTGACGGTGAGGCGCAAAGCCTCTGGAGCCAGGCCGAGCCAGGCCTGACCCCGTCCGTGGTGCTTCCTTGGTCTCACAGCAGGTAAGGTAGGTCGCATCGTCCGTCCATTTTACAGGTGAGGAGCTTGCACGGAGAAGTTCTGTAACTTCCCCAGGGCTTTATTCTGGGTGCGATGAGAAATTCAGTCTACTGATGGAAATAAGAGAACATCAATGTGGCTGCCCACAGAGGTCGGGGAGGGGACACCATGCCAGCAGGCGTCTGGCTGGTGCTTGCACGCGGCAGACCCTGTGCACGCCCTCCGCTGACCCCACACCACTCTCCACCACGGCTGTGCCCACGTGCCAGCACCCGAGGCACAGACACCACGTCGGGCCCTGTCGAGGTTCTGCTCGGGGTGCGTGTGGCTCATCACGGCCCGCGCTGCGCTGTGAGCACCTGCAGGCGGGGACACATGGATCGTGGTCACAACTCTGTCCCCCAGGCTGAGCGCAGGCCTGGGACACAGCAGGCACTCTAAAAATACCTGCTGGAACGAATGAACGCGTGAGTGAGTAGGACTGTCTAAACAGGAAGCTCGCGTGCAGATCCCGTCTGTCAGTAGAAGCCGAGGTTGAGCCGGCGGAAGGGCTTGGCCCAGCTCATTGCGAGAGGGGTATCCAACCTGGGGCTCTGCTTCTCCTCTCGCTGTTTGGGACTTGTCAGACCCCGGCAGGCAGTTCTCCTGTCTCTGCTCTTCCATGGGGACAAGGACGTGGCCTCTGTCCTTGGCAGGCTGGTTCCGGAACACACCTCTCCTCTCTCCCCTCCCTTTTCTCCCTCCCCCTCAGAGGAGCAGCAGGCAGGCTGGGCCAGGATTGGACGCAGTCGTTGGCCAGTGACAATGACAGTGCTCCTGGGTGTGGGTGTGCTAGCCTCACAGTCCTGGCCCGGACTCTGGGCAGCTATCTTACCGCCTGGTCCCACCTTAGATCAGCCTCCAGCTGGCGGGAGCTCTGGAGCCCCCTCTAGGGGGAGTCCTTCCTCCCGACTGGCTATGGTTCATTGGACTTGACTGGAGACAGGTGGGGACAGATACCAGCTCCTGGGAGCAGCAGTGGCTTGAAGCGCATATCCAACCCCCTTCTCCCTTCTCCTTCTTCAAACCCATTACAACAGCAAAAAGGAAAGTTAAGGAAAGTCTCCTGGGGTAGGGTGGGACTGTGCAGGGAAACAAGGCACAGGTAGAGAAGATTCGAAAGCCTTTCTTTCCTTTTTTTAAAGAATGGTTTATTGGTTTCATTCCATTTGTTATTGTTCATTTTTGTTGTTGTTTTTTGTTTTTGTTTTGTTGTGCTTTGACTACCAGAGAGAAAGAGAGAAAGGGAACGCAAGAAAGCAAGCCACCAGGTCTGGGACTTGAACCATGGTCAGCCATGTCGGAACCCAGCACCCTTATCCACATGGCCTACTGGCCCCAAGGAAACCCTTTCTTAACAGTAGAGTCAGCTCGAGGCGTGAAAATGCCACGTTCAGCGTGGGTGCGTGTGTGAGGCGTGCGCGAGTATAGGTAGGCAGGGAAGCTGTGGCTCTGTTTCTGCTGCTGAGGCCGTCAAGGCACTGCCCAGGTGTGAACACGTGTGACTGCACTGGGCTGGCTGGGTGGAGGGAACACGGCCATGATGTGGAAGAAGGGGCATCTTGGGGTGGAAGGTCAGGGGGTCCTGGCCCTGCAGCTGGCCCGAGGAAGCTGGGTGGCAGCTCAACTCCTCTGTGCCCTCGAGTGGCCAGACCAGCGGGACTCATGATCCTTTGAGGTGCTGGTGAAGGCCGCCACCACCGG